CAGAATAGCTTGCTTTGGTTAGCAGGAGGTGTTATAAAACCGCCAGCTTATCAGCTGATTGCTGCTGTTGACACACGTGGCCTCTCGGGACAATTTTTTAGGAACTGCTTATAGCCACTGTGCCTTTCTTCCAGAAGAAATGGCTCGGTTTGTATCTGAATTTGGGTGCATCTGAAAGACTGTTTAGTTTAGGAGATCTTCTGGAACAAAATCATTAGATACACAAGCACAGGATGGTATTCCCAAGAATTCTAAATACCATATTGTGACTGCTAACTGTGGTTAAGCAAAGTGCCTTCAGGTACAGCCTCTGGTACCACAGAACCATTAACGTGGCCACCAGTTTTCTGAGGATGGCTCCACTTAGCTTTGTGGACTACATCAGGACCACCAGCCCAAATTCATCTCTCCAATTTAAAGGCTGAAGCCAAGTTAGTGGAAAAGACAGAAGCGCCAACTCCAAGGCTGGAGTCACGGCATAAACCATAGCGACTGGACAACAGCACCATCAGGCTTAATTGCAGCAGACTTTTATTTGACAAACCGGTTCTAGCTCAGGAGAATACAGAAGAAATATTGACTGGAGACGCTCATCAGGATACCGTGATAGGGCACAAAATCCCACTCCACATTTCCCCTTGCAGAAGCCTCCACTGTATGCATGAAAACCACACCATGTATACAGGGTCCAGCCCCAGCTATGAAGTAACTGGTTTAATCCAGGGGCACATGTGCATATTTTGATGCTCATGGAAGCCCCAACTAGCATGGACTACTTACACATCATTGTCTTGGGGGGCAGGAACACAGCTCAAGCTTCCCCGGATATGCAATAGCTAGACGTGGCTCACTTCTACTTCCTTCCTTCTTGATCCCAACAAGGGCCAAACTACAGTGTCCTGAATCTGTCCTGCCATTTTGTAAGAGTTCCCACCAGGGAATTCCTTTTAACAGCGCTGCAGTGGTCCCAACCAGAGTTGAGCCCTTGCAGGGATGTCAAAAGAAGTTCCCCATCGGGAACTCTTATGAAATGGCAGGGCGTCCCCGAGTTTGCCGTATCATCTAGTTCTGTCCTAAGGCACATATGCCTCCTTCTGTTGTGGCTGGACTCCACCCATGGGTGACAGTGGATCACAACTTCTGCTTGTAAGCTGGACAATGGACCTAAAGCAGTGCTATGCTGCTTAAGAAAGGTGATAGGCAAGTGTGAGGAACTGCCTCCTTAGACCACCCATGATGAGGAATTTATGACTTTACAGAACAGGGGTTCAAATAATCGCTGAGCCAGCAGATGCCCTTGCTAAAGTTACTGTTTTTCAGCTCCCAGGAACAGTAAATTCAAAGGCGGTCAATCACTATTGCTAATTGGCAACTAGATTTGAGTAACTCAGCCCATAGTCCAAGGGGGAGGAATTGAACCAACAACTTAACTTCCATCCCCACACCCAGATGCTGTTAAATTCCCTTGGGGGAGAAATAAAATTAAGGGATACTTCTCCCTCCTGTATAAGGATACCAAATGCAACCAATCTAGATGCAGTCATCTCTTGGCACAAAGGATCAGATAATGCCACTGAACAAAGGCTCTTTTACATAGAGTGTTCCTCTGCATAATACCTGTGCGATCAAGAATTTGTCATGCTTCAGCAGGGGGATCAATTTAAATACTCACATCTGGGTGCGTTGTTTACTTTAAAAAAAAAAGATGACGACTTTGGTATGTTCTTAAAAATTAGCATGTTAAAAATAGAATTCAATTCCTGTGACAACTGGTAGCATTTTAATGAACGTATTAGAAAACAGACTCTTCCGGTCATTTCGGCCAATGTTTTCGAAGGTGTTCCTTTAACTGCGGGATGGTGGATTGCTGCTGTTTGCAAACGTGGCATCTCAGAGGCACCTTTAAGGATTCGAGGGCCTGGCTGTTCACAGTTACTCTGCCCTTTTTCTTGATCATCCCAATCACCTCTGAAGGGAATGCAAAACAAACAAACCCAGGTGTCGTGTATTTGGGGCAAAACGTTCAATCACAGCCTTATGATAAAGGTTACAAAACCAGTGCCAAAGGTTCACAACGCTGCACAGAGAAACACGTCTCGTTTCATGTACATGGTCCCAAATGCAGTTGTGCGTGCTCTTACGGGAACTCCCTTTAGAGCCCATATCCAGCTGGTGCTCTGCCAGCTGCACTGGCTCCAGGCTGAATACCGGATCAGGTTCAAGGTTTTGGCAGGCCTTTGCCCCCTTTCTTAAAGGCATTGCCCCACAAGAATTCCTCCTCTAAATGCTTTTTTCAATCATTTAAAAACATTTTGAAAGGCATGTGCTTCTTTAAGCAGAGTGGGGTGCTGTAGTTAACTAAGTCCCACACTGAGCAAGGGGGTTGGAGTATGTGACCTCTAGGATACCTTCTAACTCTGTATCAAGAAACTGGTCTCCTTTAAGAGAGTTTTTTTTCTGCCTGTTCACTTTCTTGACTATAGAAGTCATCATCACACACCCAGCCCGGCTTGTTATCAGAACTGTTGCTTAGGCAGGCAGAAATGATTAAGTTGCAGCAGCTGAGAACTGTCATCTGAAGTGGTTGACAGCTTGCAATTTAGAGATCTATCCTGGTAACAGCCCTCTGTTGGCTAAATGGCTTTTCTTTCTGCACTGAGAACTTCAGCCCCACCAGAAAAATATTTGCCCCACAAGCCACAAAATCCTGGCTGCGGGCCCGGATTTGGTATTAACCTTTAAAGCCCTAAATGGTCTGGGGACCAGCATAACTTTGGGACTGCCTCTCCTGGTACATCCCCCAAAGAGCACTACACTCCAGTGATAACTGGTGATCCCTGGCCCGAAAAGTGTCCAGCTGTCCCCTGGTGGAATGCTCTGCCGGTCGAGATCCAAGCCCTGTGGGATTTGATGCAGTTCTGCAGGGCCTGCAAGACAGAGCTGTTCCACCAGGCCTATGGTTGAGGGCAGCAACAGTGTCCATTCAGAATTGGCCTCCTTTCCTTCTTCCTTTCCTCCCCCTCTCACTTCTTACCAGATTGATTCTAGGATATCTATTTCCCTCCTGGGATAAGGAGCACCAGGTTGTGCTCCTTTATATGCCATCTATTAGCTGTTGTTGTACTGCAGAATTGCTTAATGTTTAAACTTTATGGATTGTTTTATGAATGTTGTTAGCCACTCTGAGCCCTGTTAGCCAGGGCGGGCGGGCTATAAATCAAATAAATAAATAAAAAGAACTCCTCTGACATGTTGCAAGTTTAGGCACCACCAATGGCTCTGAATACAATATATAATCAGTTTTATTTATTATTTATTTGTTCAAATTTATAGCCCTCCCTCCCTGCAACGGGCTCAGGGCGGCTCACAAATAGAGCAACATGTGCCAATAGTTAAAACACAAATAGGGCAAAAAAATGCCAATAGTTAATCAATTTGCTATTAAAGAGTCAAAAAGAATTGCCCAGCCTCTCTAGGAGCCATCCCTCACATTTTACAAAATTAATTCAGCAAAAATCATTCATTACACAAGCATAAATCAATCAACATAAAGTGGACTCTTTCTGCAAACTCTGTTTCTCCCTTACATTGGGAAACGCGTTATCCATTGGAGACTCAGGAGGAGCTGGATGAATTCCAGACTTTGTGAGAGTTAGAAAGGGTTTATGTTGATTGATTTATGCTCGTGTAATGAACGATTTTTTGCTGAAGTAATCTTGTGTTGTAACGAACGATTTTTGCTGAATGAACTTTCTATAACTATTTATAAATCAGGATTTTTTTCAATCATCACAAAACATTATTAGTGCAATTAGTATTAACACCACACACAGTTTTCTCTTTTCTTTTCATACATACTGTGTGTCTCATTGCTATTCTGTGTCCCTCGCATTATGGCATGAGTCACTGTTCTGGGGGGGGTGCGCCTACAGATTCTAAGGAGGCATGCCCGGAAGACACAACAGCATGCAGGTACTGAACTTTCCCCCACTTCACTCTCTCATAGGGAGAAATCCTAAACTGGTCTCCTTGAAAGGAAGTCCCACTTTACTGAATGGGACTTACTCCCAGGAAAGCGTTCTTAGGATGCAGCCAGGAACTTGGAAACTTAAGAACATAAGAGACGCCAATGTTGGATCAGGCCAAAGGCCCATCCAGTCCAACACTCTGTATCACACAGTGGCCAGAAATACCAGGTGCCATCAGGAGGTCCACCAGTGGGGCCAGGACATTAGAAGCCCTCCCACTGTTGACCCCCCCAAGCACCAAGAAGACAGAGCATCACTTGCCCCAGAGCCCCTATCTATACCTTCTGGCTAAGAACCACTGATGTACCTTGTTCTGTTCGCTCCCAGCATCAGAACAGGGCTGGGAGAAAGATCCCTAGGGCAATGGGATCATACATGTTATTTCCCTACGAGGCAAAGAGGAGCTACAGGCTGGGTGGGTGACTTAAACGGATATAATGATACTGGGGGACAACGATGACTAAAACTCCTATCCCCCTGTACCACTTTCCTGGTCACACTGAAACGGATATAATGATACTGGGGGACAACAATGACTAAAACTCCTATCCCCCTGTACCATTTTCCTGGTCACACTGGAGGAGTGGCTGTAACTGCTTCCCCCCCCCCCTTTGCCACAAAGTCACAGCTGACTTATGGCAGTCACAGCTGACTTATGGCAACCCAGCAGGGTTTTCCAGGCAAGAGACGTTCAGTGGTGGTTTCCCCATTGCCTGCTTCTGCACAGCGACCCTGGTATTCCTTGGTCGTCTCCCATCCAGATACTGGCCAGGGCCGACCCCGATTAGCTTCCAAGATCTGAAAAGATCAGGCCAGCCTGAGCTATCTAGGTCAGGGCAACCGCTTTTAGCATTTAAAAAAAAATATTGTGGGAGAGCCAGTCCTATATCTCTCAGAGTCATGTCTAATAGGACCCTGAGAAGTTAGAGTAAATTAAAATACACGAGTGCCATCAAGTCACAACCGACTTCATGGCAACCCCAGCCAAGGGGCTTTCAAGGCAGGTGAGAAGCAGAGGTGGTTTGCCATTGTACTCCTCTGCAAGAATCTTCCTTGGTGGCCTCCCTTCCAAGTACCAACCCTGTTTGGCTTCCAAAAGCTGGCAAGATCTGGCTATACCGTGCTGCCTTCCCTCTCAATTGACAATAGACGGCACGAATCGTTACCTTGGGAATCTATAAAGTATTCTGTAGTAAAAGAATTCCAGTGCTTCTTGTTTTTGAGCCACGGGGAATCAAATTCCTGGCTGATGACGTGAAGGTGTAGGTGGCTGTGGAAAACAAAACAAAAAAGAACAAGCAGCTCTAGTGTCACTATTATAAGGACTGGATCCTGCAGACCTGTTCCACTCGCAGAGGAATGCTCCTCCCCAGCAGCAGCTTTTTCTTGCTGAAAGATGCTCTCTAAGTGTCCTGTGTCAGAGGAAGGGTCCTACTGCTAGAGTGAAGCATCTCTCCTAGCAAGGTTCAACCCAAAATACGGAAGGTAGCCTTCTGTGGTTATTGTGGTGAGAGCCAGCTTGGTGTAGTGCAGGGGTGGCCAAACTGCAGCTCGGGAACCACACTTTCATACAGTGTAATTTAATGTTAATAAAAAGCAAATTTGCATATTTTTCAATAAAAACGTGTGTAATATTTGTTCATGTCTCTCAAACATCTGACATTTATTCTGTGTGGCTCTTACGTTAAGCAAGTTTGGCCACCCCTGGTATAGTGGTAAGGAGCGCAGACTCTAATCTGGGAGACCCGGGTTTGATTCCCCACTCCTACACATGTAGCTGCTGGTGTGACCTTGGGTCAGTCACAAGTTCTCTCAAAGGTGTTCCCTCGGAGCTCTCTCGGCCCCACCTGTTTCACAGGGTGTTCATTGTGGGGAGGGGAAGGGAAAGGAGATTGTAAGCTGCTCTTGAGGCTCCTTCAGGTAGTGAAGGGCAGGGTATAAAAACCAACTCTTCTTCTGTTTAAATCCCAACTTTCTTTGACAGAACAGGCCCAGACTGACAAGGCCTGGTTCATAGTGGGCTTTCAGACTATGCCTGGAGCCCTTCTTTCTCATAATCAATGGCAGGTTTTGCTAATGAAATCTCACACTTCCATTTGTATCTCTGAAAAGAACAGATGTTTTAGAAGTAGGGAAATGTGTGAGAGCCAGCAGGGTGTAGTGGTCAGAGAGGAGGACTAGGATCTGGGAGACCCGAGTTCGAACTCCCACTTTGCAACAGAAGCTTGCAGGGTAACCTCAGGCATGTGTCACACATTCAGCCTAAGCTACCTCGCAGGGTTATTGTGAGGATAAAAACGGAGAAGAGAAGAATGTTTTGCTGTGCATATAAATGTATCACAATATAGAAATAGCATGAGGATAAGTTTTGAATATAAATGAGGAAATGGATTTTGAACAAAAATATCTGTTATTTTTACCTTATATGTGAGATATATAATAGACTTTCCTTTAAGCTTTGGTATATTAAAAGTTATAGCTAGTATCTAGAAATGTTGAGATCCATAACACAGAACATGCAATAGTGAGGAAATTAATAACAGAGTTGCAAAACAGATTAGTTATAAAACTTGAAATTCAAAGTGTCTGAAGTAAGGCTCATCGCTTCCTATAAAAAATGTCTTGAGAACTATAATGAAGGGGATATTGGGGAGAAATATTTACTTTTCCCATTCTATATATCTTGTAATGGATAGTATTCTTGTTGTATAATTTATTATATAATCCCTCTTTTTCTTTTGTATCCTCTTTACATTTTACTTTGCTTTCTAAAATAAAAAATATATATGAAAAGGGAAATGGAGAAGATAGGGTTGCCAAGTCTGGGTTGGAAAATACCTGGAGACTTTGGGGGTGGAGCTTGGAGAGAGGGCAGGGATTGGGGAGGAGAGGGGCCTCAGCATGGTGCAATGCCAGAGAGTCCACCCTCCAAAGCAGCCATTTTCTCCAGGGGAGCTGATCTCTGTCGGCTGGAGATCAGTTGTAAAAGCAGGAGATCTCCAGGCCCCACCTGGAGGCTGGCAACCCTAGGAAAAGAGGAGAATGACATAAGCTGCTTCGGGTCCCCCATTGGGGAGAAAAGCAGGGTATAAATGAAGCAAATTAAAAATACATTTAGTTGATTGATTTGCTAAAAGCAAATTAGTTAATCCACGGGCAACCTTACGCATTACAAATGAGCACTTCTAGCTGGACAATGAAGAGCCTCAGCATGGTGCAATGCCATAGAGTCCACCCTCCAAAGCAGCCATTTTCTCCAGGGGAGCTGATCTCTGTCGGCTGGGGATCAGTTGTAAAAGCAGGAGATCTCCAGGCCCCACCTGGAGGCTGGCAACCCTAGGAAAAGAGGAGAATGACATAAGCTGCTTCGGGTCCCCCATTGGGGAGAAAAGCAGGGTATAAATGAAGTAAATTAAAAATACATTTAGTTAATTGATTTGCTAAAAGCAAATTAGTTAATCCACGGGCAACCTTACGCATTACAAATGAGCACTTCTAGCTGGACAATGAAGAAAACCGACAGGAAGAAAACCGACCCATTTGAAGTGTGGTGTTGGAGGATACCATGGATAACCAAAAAGGCAAACCAGTGGGTTCTAGACCAAATCAAGCCTCACTCTAATGGCTGAAAGTGAAGAGGACCTAAAGAGCCTCTTGCTCAGGGATAAAAGAGAGCGCAAAAGTAGGCTTGAAGCTCAACATCAAAAAAACTAAGATCATGGCATCCGGCCCCATCACTCCTTGGCAAATAGAAGGGGAAGTCGTGGAAGTAGTGACAGACTTCACATTCCTGGGATCCCAGATCACCGCATGAAATTAAAAGACGCCTGCTCCTTGGGAGGAAAGCGATGGCGAACCTAAGCAGCATGATAAAAAGTAGAGACATCACCCTGCCAACAAAAGTCCGCATGGTCAAAGCAATGGTATTCCCAGTAGTCATGTATGGCTGCGAGAGCTGGACTATAAGGAAGGCCGAGCGCCAAAGAATAGATTCTTTTGAACTATGGTGCTGGAGAAGACTCTTGAGAGTCCCTTGGACTGCAAGAAGAACAAATCAGTCAATCCTCAAAGAAATCAACCCTGACTGTTCCCTGGAAGGCCAGATAATGAAACTGAAGCTCAAATACTTTGGCCACCAAATGAGAAGGGAGCACTCACTGGAAAAGACCCTGATGCTGGGAAAGATTGAAGGTCAAAGAAGACGGGGACGGCAAAGGATGAGATGGTTAGACAGTGTCAGCGATGCAACGAACATGAAATTGAGCACACTTCAGAGGACGGCGGAAGACAGGAGGGCCTGGAGGGAGATGATCCATGGGGTCGCGAAGAGTCGGACTCGACTGTGCGACTGAACAACAACAACATCATACTTTTGGTCAGATTATGAGAAGAGTCACTGGAAAAAACAATAATGCTAGGAAAAGTTGAAGGCAGTAGGAAGGAGCAAGCCCCAACATGAGATGGACTGACTAATAAAGGAAGCCACAGCCTTCAAGTTGCAAAACCCCAAAGCTATTAATGATAGGATGTTTTGGAGGCTGCTAATTCACAGGTTCGCCGTACGTTGGAAGCCACTTGACAGAACATAAAACACACAGCCCATGATAAATATCACATAGCCACAGGATCGGCCGTAGAGTAAAAGGCATATTCATTTTTCAGTGTTCTACCATTTTCAGTGTTTTGCCGTTATAAAGCCCAGAAAATAATGTATTCATTGTAAAACAAATACATTCTTAACTACAACTAAAAATTAAAACCTGTTCTGAGGCCAAGCACACAGTACCTCATGCTGGGAATGGCGTGGTAGCCCAATCGGAAGTTCAGGGCATCTTTCTCAGGGCACTGCTGGACCATTCTTTCCCCAGTGGCATGCACGTGTTCCAGCAGCTCAAGGTGCTCCCAGGTCACGGCTTTCAAGCTGGAGATGGATTGCCACGGCAACACTAACCAGTGATAGCGAGCCTTGGGATACTTGTCTTTTATAACGACAACCCTTTCGTCCTTGTAAACCTAGCACGGAAAACAAGGAACGGTGCATGACTCCCTGGGAAACTTACGGAAACTGGTTTTTACTACTATGGAGCCCCATACATCACCCTGAAGTTCTTACCTGCATGTTTGGGTCTTGCATAGAAGCCTTCAGTCCTTGACTCCAGTGCCCAGCAAATTCCTGAAGCATAACAATGAAGGACATTTGAGAGGGGAAGTTAAGAGTCTAACAATCTAGTTCTCTGCATGCTCAGAAATATGTTTCTCTGAAGTTCAGGAGGACACACTTCTTTTAGATTACAGCTTAACAGTGTGATCTTATGCACAGTTACTCCAGTCTAAGCCTGTTTAAATCAGGGGAGAGGCCGTGGCTCAGTGGTAGAACCTCTGCTTGGAATGCAGAAGGTCCCAGGTTCCATCCCTGGCATCTCCTGTTAAAAGGACCAGGCAACAGGGGATGTGAAAGACCTCGGCCTGGAAAGCTGGTGCCAGTCTGTATAGATCAGGGGTGTCAAACATGCGGCCCGTGGGCCGGATCAGGCCCCCAGAGGGTTTCTATCATGCCTGCAACGGACTGGCTGTCTCCTGCTTCTTCCTCTAGTTCTGCTGCTGCTGCTGCATCATAGCTTGCTTTCCTAGACTCTCTCAGTCGCTCAGGAGAGATAGATAGGCAAGCTTCTGCTCCCTGCACTGGGCTGAGGCTCCTCCCCCTCCCAGATTGCCACAGCACAGACATTTTGATGCAATAAGTCAGAGCAAGAAGTGTCAGTTATCACAGACTGTTAAATAAACAAAATATTGCAAGAGTGCTAATGTTTCAAGCATGTTTTTTATTTTAAGTAAAAAAAAAAATATTTGTTTGTGTCCTTTATAAAGTTTATATCTCCACTACCTCGCATTACATTTTATGACACACGTGGCCCGGTCCAACAAAGTCCAATTTATGTCAAATCCGGCCCTCTTGAACAAATGAGTTCGACACCCCTGGAATAGACAATACCGACTGTGGTGGACCAATGGTCTGATTCAGTATAAGGCAACTTCATGTGTTCATGTGTGTAGATTAACTCTGCGTAGAATTGCTCTGCGACACATCTAAGTCACATCACAAGGTTTGCTTAAGGTATGACAGGGCATACAAGCTACACAGAGGTCTGTGTACTTCCAGAAGGTGTCCCTAACTCCAACATGGGCTTGCCCTTGAGAATACTTCCAGAGGTCGCTCCTGAACATAAAGTACCTTGCTGTATCACCCACTGAAGGGCTGTCACGGGCCTTGCTTAGGCACAACAGCATGTGCCCTCCCTGCCCTAATGGTACAGCTAGAGCACCAAGGACCAGCAGCGATCAGAATGAGGACTCTGCCCCGACCCCCGGCCAGAATACACGATTTGCAAGCCGTTAGTGCTCTAGTAGGAGCTGCGGTGGCTCAAGTGGTTAAGACGCTGAACTGCAGGCTGTGGAAGGTCGGTAGTTCAGCAGTTCAAGACCCGGGTGTGCCGCATGACGGAGTGAGCTCCCGTCTCTAGTTCCAGCTCCTGCCAACCTAGCAGTTCGAAAGCAAGAAATTGTAAGTAGATAAATAGGTACCGCTTCGGTGGGAAGGTAACAGCGTTCCGTGAGCCTTGGTGTTTAGTCATGCCGGCCACATGACCACAGAAACATCTTCGAACAGTGGCAAATGAGTTCGGCCTTGCTCTTCGGCCTTGAACCAGAGATGAGCACCGCAACCCTAGAGTCGGATTCGACTGGCTTTCGAGCAAGGGAACCTTTACCTTAGTGCTCTAGTTCAGAATGCCTATTACCCACAAAATGCAGTCTGGAGGAATTCTAAATCCCCCCCCCAACCATGAAGCCAACAGCCATGTAGTTGTATATACATATACCCTTTTCTAGCACTCCTACAGGATCAAAAGTTAAGAACATACAAGGATATCCTGACACTAATAGTAAATCAGTGTTACAGCACATTGTCATGGTTCCCCCTAAAAGAAGCTCCAGAGCCATGTCTTATGAGGATGCTGTGAACTAATTTACACAGGTCTCCAGATCTGTGTAACTACCAAACTACAATTCCCAGGAGGAGATGATTATTAAATCAGTTTATGGAGAGTATTTAACCCACTGACTTCCTATCAGCTGACTCAACCACATGAAAGCTTTAGCATTAAACTTTGTTGGACTTAAAGGTGCCACTGGACTCAAACCTTGCTCTAATACTTCTACTGTATTTGCCCAGTGAGCACTAAAAGGAGAAGAGTTGGTTGCTATACCCCTCTTTTCCCTACCTTAAGGAGTCTCATGTGGAGGAGTGGGGAATAAAACCCAATTCTTCAGATTAGAGTCTGCCAGTCCTAACCACTACACCACGCTGGCTTGTCACTAACGTGACACAGTCTTCTGCTCACCTTTTTGCCAGAAGATGTTTCGGACACAGCTGCAAGACTTTTGCAATCATTCACCTTGTAATCCAACCTGCAGCCTTGTGGGTCCTCCTGCACCGTTTTTACACGTTTTCCCGGCATACTTTCCTCCTCTGTGCGGTTTTCAGATTCTACCTGCATCCTTTTCCCACTTTTTAGTCTTGTGGCTTCCCTATCAATGAACACTCCTGTTTCTTCTTGGAATTGTACAGTATAGGGATATAGTTTATTGACAATGTGGAGGATTTGTCCCGGCTTCAGTTTAATTTCTTGGTCCTTGCCAATATCCACCAGATCGATGCTGGTTGGATTGACTCCTATCTTGGAAAGGAAAGAAAATTCAGATTGACATTTGTCACCCTAACAAGACCCTACGCAAGCAGAAATCAAACATCATTCAAATACCCACAGACTGTACCATTTTACAGCAGGCTCTACTGGGAATGGGATGAACATAAGTTACATTCTCGATACTACCATGCAAGCTCAGAAAGAATATAGTGGCTATAGTCTATAAGACAGCTCCCACACCAAGGTTGCCATATGCCTGCATTGCACTCTAGTTGGGGAAATTCAGGAAATGTAGCAAACATGACTTTTTCCCCTTAAGAATACGCCAAACATGGACCACAACAGTGACAGAATGAAAATTACTTCAGCACTGAACTCCACGAACTGCTATCTCTTTTCCCAGAATGCCACTTGGTTATATCTTAAAAGAAGCAGTAGCATATAAATAATCAAACATAAAACTTACGGCAGGGACGCCCTCCCGCCCTTGCTCTCCAGACTGGTGGGAGAAAGGTCTGGGGTGAAAACGGTACCATGGAGGTTTGAGGGATGGCCAGAATATTACCCAAAGCACTTTAATCATACCTGGAATTTCAGCCAGACTTGGTATCATTTCTGTCCCTTGCCTTACAATGGCAAATGTCAATGAAAAAATATCTTTCTGCATTTATAAATACTGCCTCCTCTCTGAAACCGAGTTCTAGTCAATGAAGAAAGTCAAGATCTCCTCTTCAGTATTTGCTTTAAAGACTTCCTTGTCAACTTTTAGAAAGCCCCCTTCAGCATGGTTCAAAAGAGGAGGATTAAACTAGGACCCCCTCACACTCAGTTAGCAGCTAAAAAAAAAACAAATTCCAACCCACCCACCCACCCCCAGCTTCCTCTCCTTTCAGGCCAAGGGGCATGTGGTTATCTTGCTACCTCAGCTGCCCAGGCAATGACACAGCATAGCTGCCAAATATGACAGAAAAAAAGTCTAGGCCAAGAAAGATACCAGGCTCAGGAAACAGCAGATTTTTCAGAAGAGGTGCGCGCTAATTGGTGGAACTTGGGCTAAGGTGACTACAAGCAAAGTGGTTTCCTATTCAAGTATCAATCCTGCAATCAGGCTATACCATGCTAGTTTTGGTGGGGGATTGATCTTTTCTTTTTTTAACTGTGGTTATAATTAATCCTTTTAATGACATACAGTTCCCAGAATCCCTGGTCGGGAGCCATGCCAGTGGGTTAGAACTGGTTTAAAATGCACTATGTGAGGCTCCAACAGACGACACCACCATCCAAAACAGTTTCAGCATTTTCCTCTGTGATCGTGAAGGCTAGAAACTTGCTTTTAAAAGAAGTCAAAGCAAGGACCAAAGCAACCAAGCTCTACAGAAACACAGAAGATATCCAAAGCTTTACTTTGTGCCACCAGGCTAATTCCTACCCAACAGAGATTTTTATCCTTCCTTTCAAGCCTTATGAAGTGCCGAGAACTTGAACTATCAGCAACACAGTGTGAAGAGGACATACCTGTTTAACCTTGACAAAACCTTTATTGCAGTCCGCTTTAAGCTGTACTGGAAGGAAAAGTGACAGAAAACTGAATTAGGCATGGAACCAGGCATTTTGTGGTGACACGGCCAATGCAAAAAATCCCAAATATAAAGCAAAGTTCATTTGAATAAAATCAGGATATAAATGCTAGGCACCCACCCATTTTATTCTCAGACCAGAAAAATCAAATGCCCAGACTGGAAAACAACTGTTGCCAAGAGATTCATCTCAATCTCACAGCAGCGAACCCAGCAATCTGTTCGGCCAGGGTTCCAAAAAAGCACTCGTCAAGGGCAAGGAATTTCTCCCTCCTGACAACTGCCTCTTAAAGTTAAGGAATGTGCTGTCTGATGCCTTTAAATCAGTCCTAGCTTTGGGCTTGCAACAAACTTCACTTTCAAAGCAACCCTAATGGTCTTCAGGGACCGTTTCTGTCCTGGGATCTTTAACATTAGGGGAGATAGAAAGAACATTACTACTACAAAAAGCCCCTACTTTTTATGCTAGGGTCCTTTTAGAAAACTGAAATCAGAGTTGCTATTGATTTCTACTAAAAAGTTTTCAAAACCCAGAGGTTTCAGTGATGTTCAGTCTGATCACAGGCATATTTCCGCAGAAGAAAGCACCACTGGATTCAACGGGGTTCATTCCCAAGTCAACTGTGCATAGGATTGCAGCCCTGAATACATGAACCTGCCATCTACTGAGTCAGCCCATTGGTCCTGCCAGCCTAGCATTGCTTATTCTAAATTTAGATTGAGATCTTGGGCCCCCTATGGGCTAAATAAGATCCTTGACCTTCTATGCTATATCTGGCCATGGTGATAAGCATTTTTGAGATCTGCGGTCCTTTAAGGGTTAAAGGGTATCTGGATTTATTGCACCATACCTGGTTATAAAATACAGTGAGTTCTTCCCAACTCCTCCATTTGTTCAAGGTGGGAGCTGAAGAAGTTTTTATGTAAGGTATGCCACATTGTCTTTTTTTTCTGACTTTCTGATATGAACCTCGCATTAAAAAAAAATTGTTATCTTTTTCAATATTAAAAGATTTCTGGTTATAAACTATGTAATTTTTGTATCACACTAGAATACATAAGAGAGAATCACGTGGGGGTAGCCGTGCTGGTCTGAAGCAGCAGGACAAAGTTTGAGTCCAGTGGCACCTTTAAGACCAACGAAATTTTATTCATGGTATAAGCTTTCCTGTGCTTGTACATTTCCATGTAAGGTTATTCTATACCATGCTTAGACTGTGTATGAATCCATTTTATAAGTAATTTTAATTTTTAAAGAAAGTTTTTAATTATTATTCTGCATGTACGTTTTAATTAAATTTGTGATTGTAATTTTTTAATTTATTTTGTATTAGATGCCCTGACGAACCATACAGCAAAATGTGTAGGGATCTAGAAGATCTAATGAAACCATTCTACCTTATACTGAGTCTAACCATTGGTCTTGCCAGTCAAGCACTGCTTTCTCTAAACAGTACCTGGCCTGACAGTCAGATCCATTGATGATTCCCTGCCCTGCTATCACCGATCCTGTTACAAGAAATGTCAAAATCTGAATTTGGGGACGTTACAGGCAGGGCTTTTTTGGTAGAAAAAGCCCAGCAGGAACTCATTAGCATAATAGACCACACCCAACAGCAGAAACTCATTAGCGTATTAGGCCACACCCCATGCCTTCCCTTGGCTTGCTTGGGCGTCCCACAGCTGCGGGGAGCCCGGGCAAACCAGCCCTTGGACAGGCTGGGGAAGGCTCGGGGAAGCATTTAAATGCCTCCCTGATCCTTCCAGGACCCCCCCTGCCTTGGAGTCGCGGGGGGGGGGGGGGCCCTCCAGGCCTTCCCTCTGTAGCCACGCACGCAGAGGTTTTGGCTGTAGTGGGTGTGGCCAACTCTGAAGCCAGCCGGAACTCCGTTCCTGTGTGTTCCTGGTTACAGGCAATGTTCCCTCTAAGCTGTGGAGTCCTCTGAGCAAAAACTCTACTTTGTGAGCTACTGGCATTAAAGTTGTGAGCGAGCCATTTGGCTACTGCATAAATTAGTTTGCTCTGGAGCCATCCTTCCTGAGCGAAGACAAAAATGTGAGAGCCGGAGGCTAAAGCACTGTGAGCTAGCTCACACTAACTCAGCTTAGAGGGAAAACTGGTTACAGGTGCTAAGCCACTGTTCTGCTATGAAGCAATCCTGCCCTCACTCCCCTTGACCTGGAAAAGATGGTCTCTGAAAAAGCGGACTGTATTCCAGGAACTCTCTTGTCCATTAAGCCTTTAAGGTGTCACAGAACAGTCCTGATCAGTTTGGTAATCAATTCTTTTGGACAGGAATTCAAACTAAATATTGTACAGACCCTTTTAACAGACAATAATGTTCTATATAAATAAAGAGCATTGTTAATAAGCTTAAATGCTATACGGAGTGTATATTTTAGGGATTAAGCAAAACCTGTAATGTAAAGAACATATGGATCAACCCAGATTTCTTCGTATTTTGTGGAAACAAACATTTACTGGAAAAGTACATGTTGTGCAGTATTGGCTGACATCTCCCCAAATGTGAAAGGGCAAAGTTACACAATTCATCGCTGCTTAACAGTACGAAAAGCCTTTCATGTTTTATTTAGAGGAACACTGAAGATCGCAAGCACTGAAAACAGCAGATTTAATTCTTTTTCTAAGTTTAAAGTATTGTATTCCTTTTATGAACCGAATTAGTGCAGTCTAGAAATTATCTTACTGTGAGAGGCAGTGTTGTGGTGGGAATGGAATCTTCAACTGGCCAACAGAAAATAATATTTGCCTGCTAATCCCAACCACAATTTGTGAACATCTGTGTGTGGCACTTACACATCACCACCACCGCCCCACCGCCCCCAAAACAGAAAAATAAACATATAATCCAATCCAAAATATACTTCCTTGGAAGTAAGAACTACTGAGCTCGGTGAGATTTACTTAGCGTAAATATTTTGCGTATTTAGGATTGCTGTCTGATCTCCCCTTTACCTTGTCTTCGTGAACACTTCTTGTCGGTTATTTCTGTCTCAGGGCCTCGCCCTATCACCACCATTTCTAAATGCGGCAATCTTATTTGCGGGCACCTTCTGTCTTTGCTCACTAGCCAGCACGCAGACATTGTTCTCAGGGAGAGGGGAAAAAGAGACACTCGGTTTTATTTCACTTCATCTGAGGAAAATAGTCTTGGGCAGGGGTCCCCAACGTGGTGGTGCCTGTGGGCGCCATGGCACTGCTGCCCGCCTAGTGTTTTTAGAAAGCGGATGGGGCCATATGGGCCTTTTCCTCAATAAGGCTTCTGATTGGCTGTGTAGATTTTTAAAAATGTTTTGGCAGCAACTATCTCTACAGCACAAGGATCTTCACTGTGCCGCTGCAGGTAAGCTGCTGCAGCCATTTTGTGGCCGACTCCATCTCCCACAAGCAGCCATTTTGCGGCAGCCATTTTGTAGCTGTGCCCATTGCGCTGTGTCAGAATTCCAAAGGTGCCGACAGGCTCACAAAGGTTGGGGACCCCGGTCTAGGAAATTACACCAGGCATGCACATTTTACCCTAGCACACTCATTTAGCTGTGCAGAAATGGAGCAAACCTTTAGAATTCTATCACCTGCAAATGGAAGAAAGCAGTCATTAGCAGAGAACAGAGAGATCCCTCAGAATCAGAAACAGCACTCAGATACTATTTGAAAATATCCTGCAGCCGCACAAAAACCTACCAAGCCTCAAGGGGCAAAGTCTCAGCTAGGATTAGTCTGTGAACTGAAAATACACGCTTCTGTATTGAGCAAGCAACCGGACTTTGACTAAACAAATGACAAACGTATGAAATCCTACAAAGATCCCTTCTTCCTCACCACTCTCTACTGCAGCCCAGGCTTTCTAGTACACCACTCAGCAAACCGTGCCCTTGGTATCTTCAACAAGAGACCGGAGAGGTATCCGATTTAGATATTAAAAGCTGGTGTGAACGCACTCCCAACGATGGGAATGCAGGCACTGGGGAAATTTAGCTGCAGAGGAAATTCCACAACTGGGACGTCACCAGAAAAAGGCCCTTTCTCCACTAATCTAGTGCAGGCAGGAGCACAGAGAGAAGGGACCGGGCAGATCTTCCTTGGAGAGCAGGTTCATACAGGAGCAAGCAATCCTCAGAATCCGTTGGTCCCAGCCCATTTGGAAGAAGAAAAAACTGTTTTGTACCAAGTCAAGCTCGCCTCAGGCTCTTAATCACGGAGTAGAATTGCGTGTGTATGAACATGGCTGCAGGGATGGAATAAAGCAACCGAATTCCACTCCCTTGGCTCATTTAGATTTACGGCGTTCTTTACTATAACCTAAGGATGACTTAACATCTCTAGTCACTTCTACACGTTCCTAATGTAACAGAGAAAGGAGAAAACGGTCGTTTCTGAAATATGTAACCAATAAAGCTCTTTACTTCCTTTTGGGTAAAGAATTTTTTCTTAAAGAGCAACTTGTGAAAATGTTCTTCATCTAGATCAGTCCTAGACAGGGTTCAGACTGAGGATTTGTTTTGAACGCCCTTGTGAGGTAGGTGGGGCTGAGAGAGCTCTGAGAGAACTGCTCCCGAGAGAACAGCTCTAAAGGAACTTGTAACTGACCCAAGATCACGCCAGCAACTGCATGTAGAGGAGTGGGGAATCAAACCCAGTTCTCTCAGATTACAGTCCGCACTCCTAACCACTACACCAAACTGGCTCTCATAAGAAATAAGCACATATTATGCATCTGCAGACCTTAGCTGGGCAATGAGTTGTTGAAGACAAACCCTGAATGAACTGGGCAGTGGATTCACAGTAGTCCAAATGCTATATTTCCAACAGGAAGAATGTGACGAGCACACAAAATAGAGCATTGCACAAAAATGGCATTTTGGATCTGACATCAGCAACACAAGCTGCTTTGTACCAGACAACTTCTGCAGGCAGTTGGGGTAATCAAGAGCTGATTTGGGGGTGCCAGCGTATTCAAATCCTAGTTCCTTATTTAGGCTACATCAATACCCTTAACAGCCCAATCCCATGCATATTCACCAAGGTACTGTGTATTCATATTATACAATGAAGTGGAAGGCACTGCAATATTGTTTCAACCAACCCATAACTCAGTTCTTTGTTGTTGTTTTTAACCCTACAGTACCTTTCCAGCCCATTATCCCTTCCCACCAACTATCTCCCTGTAGTTTTTTTTATGGCAACAAACTTTATGCACCGCTCAGCTCCCACCAATAAATCCTGGCACCTGCTCGCTCCCATTCCTTTGATCTAAAATCCACATGCTTCCGCTCACCTCCTCGCTGCCATCATCCCACCCCCTCCCCTAGAGCTCCGTAGCCAATAGCTATGCTCCTTGCTGTCCTGAGACCAATCCGATTCATTGCTGATCTCATGTGACCACCTGCGTTACTTGCAGTTCATCGTCAGCGTCTTAATGAGAGGCAGATCTTTTCCCCAGCATTTTGCACTCGCTGTTGGGATTGTTTTATAGGAAACTGTCCCAAAGGGAACTCTGCAGTCATGGAAACAAGCTGCACTGGATTCAGTGGGACTTACTTTTGAGTAAATATGCACCAGATTGTGTTGCATGGTACACTGTATGAGAACTGAATCCAGTAGAGTTTCAGGGTGTGACTGAAATCTAATTTTTCTACTACAGGTCAACATGGCTACCCTCTGACACTATCTTTATGAGAACCGTGTTTCTGTTTTTACGATCTTATAATTTTTAAATGTAAAAGCTTTGATTAGAAACCTTAAATAGAAAAGTATGCAGAATAGATTTGCAAATTTTTCTTTAAAAATTAAGAAATTGTCCTAGTTGTATTGATCTTTTTTTAAAGCTGTTCATACTGTTAAAAATAATAAAAGTACATTCCTTTATTCCACAGCACTCCAGGGCTAGGAATGCAACAGATATCACAGGACTGATTCACCTTTGCTCTGTGATGGTAGATCACCATCTTAATGGTTACAGGTCATTACTGCTGTATAATAAGATGGATTTAAATGTCTTTATTATGCATCTGTTTTATGTTGATGTACACTGCCCTGAGCCACAGGTAAGGGTGGTTTAATAACAAATAAATAGATGTCCTTTATTTCTGGCATCCCAATTCCAGATTCCCTGATTTTAGAAAACTTGTTTGTGAGTTTCAATGAGCTGTTTTCATGGTAAAGTTTAAAATCTCACTTGCCAATAAATTGGTGAACTTCTGTTTGTTAATCTGTTAATCTGTAAATTACAAAGTATCACTGGTTCTTACTTGACAAGTTTCCTAAGTATACATGTATAGGTAGGCTAGTAGCCGAGAATTAATCTTTATTAAACCTGCAGTACCCATTAAACCAAACCTGAGACCATTTTAGCATAACAGAATATAATTCTCAGGGTAAACTAATTCATATCTAATTGCCTGGTCCTATGCAGAGTTAGGCATGGCCACTGAAAGCAAGCACACCTAACTCCGCATAAGATCAGGCTGCATATAGTTATTTGGTTATTCCCTTTTCATACCTTCCAAAAACAGATTTAGGCCTGGTTTCCTCATGCAACACAAAGAAGTGGTACAGTAGGCTATCCCATTTCAGATTGTGGGTTCATTTCAACAACTGATGTGCCTCCAACAAAATAAATAAATAAAATTCCCCGCAAACAGAAAACTAGCTCAAAAGGAAGACAAGTTTTTAACCCAACTTTTGAAAACTAGCTCAAAAGGAAGACAAGTTTCTAACCCAACTTGTTTGCAATGCTAGTTTTTTATTTGCGAGATTTTAACACAGAGGACTGTTCAAAAATCAGATTTCTCAAATGCATCCTAAAGTCATTCAGCCCATTCTACCATTTTAGCACTCTAGCAATCTCATTTCCACTTCATTCTGCTGCATGTCTTGACTAGGCTTTAGTTGTATGCATTGGCAAAGCATGGCATACAGCCTGATGCTTTGCAAAGCTAGGCAGACTGAAGTGCAGAAAAATCGATGGTATTAAGCATGGTCTGCCAATAACCGCAGCCCTACGTTATGGTGGGTGAGTGTTTGTCTCTTGCTTTACCTGAAAAAGGCCATTTCACAAAACTCAGTTATTTTAGCATTCCCCTCCTTGTGGAGCTGGTATCACTTTGGCTGGAAATGACAAATCACAACTCCTTCGTCCACAGTTTGCTACCCAAGGCAGTTCACTGGTCAGGCAGCGTTCCATCCTGGCAAACTGGTTGTGTGGGTCACTGTCTCTTGCAACAGCTGTTGCTTCTTTGGAATTTGTGAATGATTTCATTGTACGCAGTTAGCCTAAAAGTGGCATGCCCTGGGGAAACGGCAGCCTGTGACAAAAGAATGGTACCACTTCCTAATAGTTGTTGATGTCTCCTTAATTGGGCTTCAACTGTTGGGAAACGGTTCTGGTTGGTAGGAGCCGGGTGAAGCAAATTGAGTTGAGACGTCAAGCAGAGACAAAAAGCAAACACACTCTACTGTGAGTTGGCTGAAGTGCCTTGGGGATACAGAATCTCTCTTAGATAAGGAGGGGACAGTGGACCTGCAGCATGCAGGTAGATCTCCCTTTTCCCTCTACCTGTATATGTATAAACATAGCAAATACTATAAAAGGGAGCATAGGCCTCTCTTCTGCAGAGAACCCTCCCAGGGTAAGCGCGGGCCTGTGGAACTTTGCTGCTCAGAGAAGTGGAGGGCACATAACTAGGGCATTCCATAACAATGTACCAAGTAAGATTGAGAAACGGGTTCAAGGGCAGAGCTCTGCAGACAGGGGCTGACTTGCTTGTCAACTATTCCCACTGAGAACTGCACAGGTCAGCTTCTCTGCACTAACCCAGTAGCTGCTTGAAGCATCACATTGAGCGTGTCAATGCACCACTTGTGTCTCAGCCACTGGCAGCGCGAGAAGAGGG